ATGATGACGTTTCTGTTCCTATCAATCTGTAGTAAATTCTCAAACTCAGCGTAACAAATCACATTAATGGGGTTAGGAAGAGGGGCTGCGAAACGGAGATCAAGTCGGAGTGTTCCGTGTCTCTGCAGGTTCCAGTGAGGCTTACTCGCTGATAAATCAGGAGAGAGATCAAAAGCAAAAATAGTGTTGCCTTTAGCGTAGTCGTTCCAACTTATATTGTTTCCCTCGTCTTTCCAGTGGATCCCTGTACCACTAAATAGTGTGTTGTAAGCCTGTGTATACAGCTCACCCGGGAAATCAGGTGTCAGTGGTTGTGACGGGACAGGCGTACCGTCAACCTGAAGTTGCAGGTAGTTTAGATTAAAGTGTTGGAAATTAAACGGATTAAGCTTATAATCTCCGTTAAAAGCCTTATTGTCAACAAAACATATGATGATTCTTTGTGGCAATTGGTTCATAAAGAGATTGTCTATAGTCTTGTCGCGGAGCCCTTGTGTTATCGTCACCGTTTTAATATCCACACGATTCAGGGGATATTTTGCTGGAGCCTTTTCGAGCGCCTGGGCGTGTCCCAAGAGAACTGAGGGAGAGATAGTGACTTTGCGAACAATAAGTTTCACTTCCAAAAGTTTAATTTTCTCTGTCCCTTTGGTCGACATGAGCGTAAAAGCGTCACGGTTTCTCGTCAGTTTAATTCTCAGTGTGCAGTTATTGAGAAGGAGCCGATTAGAGTTGGAAATGTCGATGTGAAGTGGACCAAGTGTTTCAAAGATCTTACTGTTGGCAGTGCGCGAGCGACGCCATGCGAGACCCAAATTTTGCGCTCCATCTAAAGAGTCAAAGTGACCTGCTGTGTCCTCGTACCAGGGGCGTTGTTAGAGATGTGTGTTTTTCGCACTTTTATCATAATTAAGCTTTGCCTCAATGTAAGCCCTATAGGGGTACGTCATGCTGGATTGTGAAATGACAGTTCCATTGACACTGACGTCTATTTGTGACCATTGGGCGTGCGCACCGTAATTCACTAATGTTGCATCGCTGTTATCGGCGGCCGTAATGAGTGATCCGTCACCGTTTACAATTTGTTCTTTTGTGTACAAGAGAAAGAGAGCGGGGTCGGGATAGACGTGACCCACGCCTGGCACTTCAATTTCCACTGTGCCTGTATCGAGGCTGCTTGAAGTCCGATAAAACTCATGATCCTGACTTTTTTCTTCGCCTGTTTGAGTGACGTTGTCAAAGCCTCAGCAGATGATGCGTGCATGAAAGCCATTAAGAAAAGTAGTCTGGAGGAGAGGTCCTCTTCTGGCGCGGTTTGGAGTTAGAATGAACCTTCCTCACTACCCCGCGTCTTTTTATAGCCCCAGACCCACTCATAGTGCTGGCCGCCCTCCGCTTAAGATTTTGAACTGCTTCACCTCCGTGTCGCATGGCGCTTTCTTTAAAATTATCACCGCTAGCTACATCGGCTAAGATGTGACTGCCTGCCCGGGCCGCCTCTCTGCCAACGGCAACTGCACCGCTTTTTAGAACAGGGAGAAC